TGTACACATTCTCACTCCTTTCTCCTATTTTCTTTTTTTATTCCTGACCCACTTTCACTTTCCTGTTTATGCATTATGACTGCATACTTCTCATTGTTTTAATTCTGTTGCCTGATTTCCTCTCTTTTTTGCAATACACATCCCATCCAGCTTTATTTTTACTTGGGCCTACTGTGGAGTTGATTTACTAAAGGAGTAAAACATGTTCACTTTGCAAGGGATGTTGGGAACAGGGGTGTCCCTAGCATTATCGCTGCAGCTGGTGGTCATGTTCCACGGTGCAGGGGCTTGGTGCTGGTGGTCATGTTTGGGTGGACAGGCAGGTTCATGCTGGTGTTTACGTTCAGGGAGGTTGTTGGGGGGGTGGGGGGTGTTTATGTGGGGTGTTGGGGTCTTTGTGGTGCATCAAAAAAGCTCTCGCCGGCATCATGCCCAGCTCACTGACGTCACTGGTTGCGTCCCGTCACCCCCTGCCAACCAGTGACATCAATGGTTGCCAAGAGCTGGGCTGGACACCAGCCAGAGTGTCTTGTTCAGCTCCTAGTAACTAGTGACATCAACGGTTGGCGGGAGCTGAGCAGGGTGCCAACCAGAGTGTGGCCTTACACATCTTACTGCCAGCTCTTAGCAACCTAGGATGCTCTGACAAAGAAAAGGGGTGGCAGTGACCCAAAGAGCTGCCATCTGAGGCAACGGCCACAGGCTGCCTCGTTATAGGGACCCCCTTGGTTGGGAAGATGTACTGACTTCAAACATCCAATAATGTGCAAGCAAATTGTCTGTGTTTTCCCTTTTTCTTGCACATGATTGGATATTATTTGCAAGTGAATTCTCACCATATTCACTAAGCTAAGTTAAAATGCCATTATAAACTGAAAATTCCCTAGCAAACTGAACATGCTTTACTCCTTTAGTAAACCAACCCCAATGTATGTGTATACTGTTTACACAACCAGTTCTTTCTCTTTTTATTTTAAATCCGTCATTGTGATTACTAATGAAAATAACATTATAAGTTTCTGACAAATTTTAAACCCTTGGCAAGTTTTGCCTGATGTGAAAATTGATGTGAAATGTTTAAGTCTAATGTGTAGTGGTCCAAATAAATACCTGTCATGTTTCTTCAAATTATTTGGTAGATATCATCCCCTAGCCTCCTTTTAAACCAATACCATACTATGACCTATTTTTGGGCAAGTACATTTTCTTTAACATCACTATGTCAGTGCAAATTAGTTTTCAGTTTATTGTGAAATGTGTGCTCCAAAAGATAAATAGTACATTTGGTACAAATAGTAACATGTTGCAATACGTGATGTTGATATAGGAGTCTGCATTCTTATTGTATTGGAAAATGCCATGTCCAAACTCATCACAACTATTCAGTGTTTAATTAAAAGTGACTGTTTTCCATGTTTTTGTGTCTAAGTCACTGAAAGCATGTCAGAGTTAATCATGCTTTGATTTCCCGCTCAGAAAGTGACTGCATCGCAGACAACACTTTAATGTTCCATGCCTGCCAACTTATATATTCAACTTAGTCTTTTAGGTATTGCCATCCTGACACAATGTTAATAGTTTTGGAAGCAGTTAAATGGAAATTATTTTTAGAAAAAACAATCTTGCAGGTTAAGGTGTATCCATAGCAACACTACCGTAGAGTAACATTTGGCTTCCTACCCCTACCCAAACACCTAAGAATTTCTATGGAACCTCAATAATATATTTTTCCTCCACTGTCTTTTTTCATCTTTTTCTTTATTTGAGCTCTTATACCAATATTTACAGCTTTCTTTCTCTATATAAAGAGGCTTGCATTTTTATAGAATAATACTGTTATGTATCTTATTTTGAGCTAATAGCGCACATTTATAATATCTTATTATTATTTGTTGTTTTGAATTGTTGTTTATTCTATTGTGCTTCACACATTTTTAGATTGTTACATTTATAGTTATTAACTTTGTCAGTTATTTGTATGACATGTAAATCTATTATATAGGATGGGTGGAAACCAAGAGGCATACCATTGCTGCAGGGGAAGAGGAGACAGGCTTAAGGGAGCGGTGTCACAGCCGGCTGGATCCAAGGTTCAGGTGAGTATAACTTTTTTTTTTAAATCTAGACACCTTTGCAGTGCAAGATTAGCCTGACTGCAAGGTTTTTTTCGTGGAGTTCCTCTTTAAATACTTTAAACAGTGCTTGTTATAGTGCCTATATATTGATCTTATTAATTTCTTCTGAAGCAATTGTAAAACATTTTTATTTTAGGGGATTATAAAGTTATGTTAGTTACATTATCTTTAGGTAATAAGGTTTTAATTTAAGGATGCTTAATAATGACTATCTTTTGGTTTATTGCTGTTTTTTTTCTGTTGCATTGCGGTATACTACTATCAGTAGCTATGCTGGCAGAGCTTTGGATATGGATACCACTTTGTATGATGGGTTGTGCCCAAAACCTAATGACTGTCAGAAATGAATGCCTTATTTGCATATTAGGTAGGTGTCTAGATACTGTATGTTTGTGAAAGAAAAGGAGATGCAGAGAGAGAGAGATAGAGAGAGAGAGAGAGAGAGAGAGAGAGAGACAAAGAAGATGAGGAAATATTAAGCTCTAAAGGACATATAGGTACCTGGATTCACTAAACATGTAATGCTTTTTTCACTTCTGATCGGTCATTCACTCGGCTGCCCTCGGCAGCTTTGTGAATAGACCCCTTAGTGTCCTGTTAGGGGTATAACTGTGAGCAGCAGCATCAGTGCCAGTGCCAGCTTAGTGCCAGCATCAGTGCCAGCTTAGAAGTCAGCAACTCTTCCAATGATTAACACATCATCTTCACCACTATGAGTCACATACACCGATAATCCATAAAACTATGACCACCAGCCTAATAAAAAAGGGTAGTAGGTTCCCCTTTTTGCCACCAAAACAGCCCTGACCCATCGAAGTATGGACTGCCCTGGACATCTGAAGGTATGCTGTGGTATCTGGCATCCTTTAAGTATCCAGTATCCACCGGCCTCCATGGATTGGACTTGTTTTTCCAGCACATCCCACAGATGCACGATTGGAATGAGATCTGGAGAATTTGGAGGCTTCATCACAACACCTCAAACTCGCTGTATTCCTCAAACCATTCTTGAACCATTTTTGCAATGTTTTGTTAAACCTCCTGCTCTTTATTTTAATTAGAAGCTGACAAATGTTTAAAAAGGTAAACAAAACTATTTTCACATACAGTATTATTGTTTTACATTTTTTTTAATAAAGGACAATTACAATTAAACTGATGGTACTGCAGATACCACTGCAACCTTAAGTGACAGTGTTCATCTGCAGACCCAAGGCTTCTTTTTTTTCACTGAAGTCTCCAGCTGCCTGTGATCAATAATCAATGTCATAGCAGACATAGTGATCATGTAGTTGGGAAGCACTCTGAAAGTGGCGACCTGAGCTGTCAATGACAACTAGGATTGAGGGCCAGCAGCTGTTTAAAGTATGCAGCTGGCTGTCAAAAAGTAGTGATAAATGCCATGCTGGGGACGAAAGGCTGCACTGACGGCGGCCTTGCTCACTGTGAATCCGTTGGGAGAAACGGGAGGTGCGGGAGAGGCAGCGTCATAAGCGCCAGTACCGCTGGGCACAAGGGCACCTGTGGCATTCCTGGGTACAGGATGCACAGGGCTGGGGTTTCTAAGCCTGGCAGAAGGAGGGTGAGGCATTGGTGGGTGAGGGGGTAGGGGGGGGCTGTGAAGAAAGAGGTGCTGATGTGGAGGGGTTGTTGAAATTGAGGAGGGGGAACAGCCAGCCAGCCTGACCTCTTTCCAGCAGCTCCCTGACCCTAGAAACAATTAATTCTGTGTCCATGCTTGCCATGCATAGGAACATCCAACTTCTACTGTTGTCGATGATCCTCTGGATGGATGAGTACGCCTCAGCAAAGCCTTGGTGGTGGGAGGTCTTGCACCACCCTATCAGCCCTTAGAAACGTAGCCAATCACCTTGAGCTACTTTACATATCAAGGAGCTGGTTACATTCCCTTCAAAATGAGACCATGCTTCCCGCTGTCAAGGCCCCTTTGCACTAGGGGGCTCCAGGAGCCTTCATATCTCCAGCATGGGGCATTGTGCTGGGGAACATTAAAAAGCAGTTCTCTGGCAGCAAGGGGTTAATGTGATGGCCTTACTGACCATGACATAATGGAAGCTTGGGAGGTAGATGAGAAGTACAAAAGGAAAAGTTTAGATTTGCATATAAATTGAGCTGCCTACATGTTCAGATCATATGATTGCCTTGACATGTGGTTTCCAGTGAAAGTAACCTCTCTAAGTTTTTTCATCAAATGATTAGTTTGAATAGCCCAGGATTGTTATAGATGTACAAAATAAATACTAATCAGTACGGATGTCATGTACCGATATATCGGCCACCGAAACATATCGGCCGAAAATTGCACTTTTGGCTAAATGCCGAAAGTGCAATTTTTCTGCCAATATAGCGGCTGGCGTCTCTCCTCCCCGCACTGCTCAGCCTCCTGTCACAGATCGGCAGAGCGGTGTGTGGGCGGAGACAGCCAGCACTCTCACAGGAGACTGAGCTCTCCTCCCGCACATACTTGCTCATCTTTCCTGTGACATCGTGTCAGGATGAAGCGTGAGTACAATCAGTATCAGTATCGGTAATCGCTGAGTGTTTATACATAATTGAGGACATGTTTACTATGTCCTCAATTATGAATGAATGGGAAGTGATCTACTAAAATAAAATATAAAAAATTTAACTTTATAAAAAATAAATAAAAATAAATTTTTTAAAAAAATTTGAAAAAGTTAGAAAAAAAACATTTTCAGTCTGACATTCTTTTTCATTTCGGTTTTAAAATTTTCATTTCGGTGCACCTCTACTAATCAGTGTTCTACATTATTACACAATTGTCCTGCTACAAGTACTTTTAAAGAAAGTTTAAACATAACTAAATATTTTTTTAAATGTTACCGTTGAATTTATGCCCGTCGCTTGCTGTTCTTCACTGTAAGATTCTGTACCATTTTCTAAGTAGCTAAACACTGCAATACAAAATAAAAAATAAATAAATACAAATTGTGCATGTGTTAATGTAGACTACATACAGAACATTTTAACAACAATGAATAATATAATATGGTACATCTTTATACATTAGCATAATCTGAAAATGACAGTGTAAGATAGGATTTGGTTAGCAAAAACACATTGCAAGAGCAAAAACACTCTTACCAAACACATCAGAGTCCTTGGAATCTATCCTACCAGCTAGAAAAAGGGTAGCCAGACTTTGGCCCTCCAGCTGTGGTAAAGCTACAATTCCCATCATGCATCTGCCTCTGGAAGTCCTGCCTATGACTTTCAGAGTCTTCCAATGTCTAATGTGTTTTGTAGTGTCATTACAGCTGCATGACTGAATTTGGCTACCCCTGAGCTTAGAAGAACACAGGAAACATTACATCCTTCCCTGATTCCTCCTGTTATTTTTTAGGGCTGTCGTTACACAGAGTGTAAGCGGTGTGGGGTGAGCATTAGTGAGTAAGAGAGCTTCAATTTTGTATATAGTATTTATTCTTTTGTTCTTTATATTTGTACAAGTTCTTTAAGAATCTAGTGACTGATTTTTTTCTTGTTGCTATGTGGTAACACCAGATAAAAATAACATAACTACAGCTATAACCATGCTACTGCTATGGGACCCAGACGCTCCGATAGCCTGGAGTTACCTTTACACATTGATTAATACAGGTAGCAAATGCATTGGCAAATACATTTGGATGAAATGCAGGGATACAAATTTGAAAACTTTATTTTACCATTGATATGAAAACAATGATTATTCTAGAATTAAGATTCTGTGTCCTCAATCACTTTTTCTGTTTCAAAATATAAATATCAGGGGTCTGTTTAGATGCCTGTTATTTCCCAAAAGCCCCTAACAGTAAAGTTAAAACAATTATATAAATAATATAATTTAAAAATTATTTTAAAACATTTGAAAAGGCTTAAAAAACATTAAAGTTTTGGTTTCGGCCTGACACATTTTCTTATTTCAGTTTCGGTGTAAAAATGTCATTTCGGTGCATCCCTTGTTTATTGTATATAATTCTGAGATCACCTGTAAGCACATCTCCATGGAAACAAGCCAAATTTAGAAACATTCAAATTTGTGGATTGACGTTATGGGGAAAATATAATGTTACTACGTTTTTCACTGACAGTGCTAAAAAATATTTGATTTGTCAGAAATGTTATGAAGTTTCATGCAACACACATAGGAAATAATAAGAATTCTGACCAGATAATAAGAAAACATGACATACTAACATTTTAATTGACAGCTAGGGGCTGCAACCCATAGTACTACATTGTTAGAATGCTTTCTGGATCCTATTACTCTAACCACTTCATTTTGGCAAGCTAACTTGCCAAAGTGCCAGATTTAGCATTAAGGTGTATTCAGTTCTTCGTAATGGAAATATGCAATTTTCCTGGCAAACGAAACCTATAATGACAATGTCCTAGGCTTTAATCTGCAGACTGTGAATGGAAAACACATCAATTTTACCTGCTTAAGATACTGAGAACCCTGCCTGCAGATGGACATGAAAGGACAGTAAACTTATCTCTAAATTCCTCCTTAACAATATGACATTACTTATATTTAGTGCACAGTTTTCAGGTTTTCTCTGTGCTTAGGAATATTATTAACATTTTTGGGGTGTTAACAAACTGTTGCTAGTAGTTCAATGTATAGTCTAACAGGTGGCTTTAAAGGGAAACATTGTGCATACTTAGAACATATTTTAAGTGATCAATGCAATGTTTACCTTGCAATGTTGCCCAAAACCAGCCTCTTTTGAACTTAAAAGAGAACCATGGGGTAAGTGTTTCTCCCCGAGGTTCTCTTAAGGGTCACGGGAGGACATATAATAGCGTCCTCCCTTGACCCAAAGCTCAGTATGTCGCGAGCTATAGCTCGCGGTATACTGAGACCGCCGCAGCCGGGACGGATCATGACATTACTGTCAAGATACACCCGCTGCATTAGTGACAGCTGGCTCTGCCTTTCTGGAGTCAGAGCCAGCTGTACCCGCACCTTCCCCGTCCGTTCCTCCAGTCAGTGCTGGAGGATCGGACAGCGGAGGGGAATCCCTGCGGGGAGATGACTGACAGTCACTGCAGGGACATGATCAAGAAGTGAGTGAGCGACGGTATGTGTTCGCTGACTTTCCGATCAATTGAGCCGACGTGTGACAGTTTCATTGTCACACATCGGCTCGAACTATGAGGATGAGTGATTTTCACTCACCTCATAGTTCTCCTTTAACCTCCTGCCATCCTCCGTACAACAGACTGGAAGAGGGGCAGCACTAGGAATCAATTAGGCTCTGCTGCAGGCACCTATGCCATCAAAGAACATTCTGACAGAAGGGGAGAGCAGAGTGAGTGGAATTGTTGACTTATCGGTGTGTTGATGCTCCTTTACGGCCCAAAATGTGGGCCGTAAAGAGTCAGTTTATATAATTAGATGCCAGCTAATGTTTTTAGATGCATAATTTACCTAACAACTGAGATTTGTCTAGACCTGAATTTTATTAGAAGTGGTGGTCGTCAGAGTAGCACCATTGCTGGCTGAAGGATGTTGGTTTTTATTTTTTAAAGCAGTCTTATAGCTCAGTGCCATTTTCATAGCTGGTTAAAATAAAACACGTAGAGTTACTGCGAAACGTTTCCCATGGCACAAATACTGCTGCAAATTGCAAAATGAAAAACAACAGCAGCTCTCGCCAAACCACACTCAGAAAGCATCAACACCTCCTATCAATCCTTACTAGTAGCCTCTTATATTGCTGTGATACAGAACCCAATTAAATCATAAATAAGCATCATTCTGGCAGAACTGTTACTGGTAATGGCTTTATATCCGAGACTTTTAAAAGCATTTCTACTTCATTATTCTGAATTACTGAAAAAAATACACAACAAATCATTATTGCTGGAATCCCCAAAACACATGAAAGTGCACAAACAATCTTTAAAGTGCAACAAAGAAGAATATGGATAGCTTGCACTGCCGCAGCTAGGCTTACATTTTTTTTCTAAATAAGCAATAAAGTAAATATAAACTCAATCCCTAAAACTTGATACAAGCTTCAGCAAAGTAACATAGTTACATAGTATTTGAGGTTGAATAAAGACATGGGTCCATAAAGTTCAACCTTTGTGTGTGTGTGTGTGATTGTGCATGTGTGTGTGTATATGGATCCCTGTGTGATCTTGTTTTTAAGAGTACCTGTACGCCTGTATGTTATGGTTTCTGAGGAAGGTATCTACATGCTTTTTGAATGATTCAATACTCTCAGCTGACACCACTGCTTATGACAGCGAGTTCCAGACTTTAACCGCTCTAACTGAAAAAAATCCCCTACGCCCTTTGTGGTTAAATCTTTTCTCAACCAATTTTCAGTGGTGGCCTCTAGTCCTTGTTATGGAGTTTACTGTAAAAAGTTTATTGCTGATGTTGCCATCACTACTAAACAGCATGTACATCAAAATCATGTCCCCTCTTAATCGTCTCACTTCTAGCGTGAACAAGTTTAAATTTAATAACCTTGTCTCATAGCTTAGGTCCTCCAGCCCCTTAATTAGTTTGGTTGCCATTTTTTGGACTCTCTCCAGCTCCAGGACATCTTTTCTGAGGATTGGTGACCAAAACTGGCCCACATACTCGAGATGAGGCCCAGTGGTGTCACAAGGGGGGTGCGGCCCGCCCCCGGGTGACACAATTGGAGGGGTGACATCCAAATGACTGACAGTCATTTGGGTGTCACCACCTCTAAAAAGTCGGACACTCGGTCATGGACCGACAGTTTCGGGAAAGGGGAGGGGACCCGGCGGCATACCTTATCCCGCCGGGTGACTGTCCCCTCTTTTCTCTACCGGCGTCCATCACCAAGATGGCCACCGGCAGATACCCATAAGATCGCAGAGCATGTGCGATGACTTCACGGTGGGGTGTCACCTGGAAACCACTCCGGTTGACACCCAGCCTCAGGACGCTCTTGATGAGGCCGAATCAGTGATCTATAAAGTGGCAAAATGATTGCTTTGTCTCTACAGTACATTCCCTTTTTTATTACAAGACAGTATTCTGATTGCTTTGTTTGCCTGGCATTGCAAGCTATTATTCAATTTGTGGTCTACTATGACCCCCAAAGCTTTTTCCATTTCTGACTTCCCTAATGGAGTACCCATTAATATGTATTCCTCTTGCCTGTTTTTACCCCCAAAATGCATTACTTTACATTTTTCAACATTAAACCTCATCTGCCATATAGTTGCCCACTCCACTATTTTATCCAGGTCCTCCTTTAAAGTTATAATGTCTAAGTCCGTGTCTATTATCCTCCCAATATTAGTATCATCAGCAAACACAGAAACATCCAGTACATAAAACTCAGCAAATGCACAAAGCATGGCTTATAAAGGGAGGGGTATGATCATTCAGTGATTGATTGCTAGAGATTGACTTTGAGGTGGAGATCCCGACAGGCAGGGCTGCCATTAGAAATCATGGGGCCCCATACAGCCTACATGGCTAGCCCCCCCCCCCTTGCTGTCAATGGAACTCTGGCACTTGTAGTCCCCCCACAGTCACACACTATTATTATACATTTATTAAGCTCTGACATATACCGCAGTGCTATACAGAGAACACTGAGCCGGTCACATTAGTTTCTGTACAGAGGAGATTACACTCTAATGCAGAATGGCATCTGGCTGTTGGGGGACTACAAATCCCAGCAGTACATTATACAGCAATGCAGAACAGTATATGAATTGGACTCTGGACTTAGTAACGCACTGGACTCAGGACCCACCTGAGGCCCCGCAGATTCCACCTGAGACCCCGCGCAGCTCCTTACCTGCCGCTGCTGGGGCCTGGAGTCTCCTGCCACCAGACCGACACTGCTGGGGCGAGTCCTCTCCCCCTGCTGGACCGGCGCTGCTGGGCCCCGGCCTCCTTCACCTCCTCCGC